ATTTTGTGCCGATTTCAAACAGTAGCCGTTTAGGTGACATGTGCGTGCACGTACGAGTCCGCGCGGAGCCCGGTACACGCAATTATAACATAATTATAACATAATTACATAAACAATAATATAGAAGATGGAACCCGACTATCGCATATATATTTTATATCTATATATAATATCTAATTATCGCTCGTGCAAATACGTGCATGTGTAACGGCCCTCATAGACGGTATTGAAACTGATTTCGCGACATATAGTATAGGTACGCCCGTTATTTCGTCCATTCATCAACGTAAACTGACGACGCGACATGGTGAAACGTCTACACACAACTGCACTATTTGTAATTTTTATGAACTTTATAACACCAGAATTTGTAAATAATGTTAGATTCTGAACGGAGTGATGAATGTATTGATTGTACAATGTGTGTTTTTTTTTTTTATTTATTTATTATTTTTTTTTTTTGTGTCTGACGACAACATTTGGAGCAGTAATATTGCTTCGATTTTCTCGATCAGCAACTTTTCTGATAGGAAAGTGAATCAGTTGGTACTCTGGGGGGTCAAAAGTAAAATATTTTTAATACTTTTTAAACGCAGCGGGAAAAACCAACAAAAAAATTGTTTGAGTTAGGTACATCAAAATAACTAAAATCTTTTTCGTAACGCTGCGTATTTACGGTTTCTCACTGCTTTAGATATATCGTTTGTCAATAGTACACATCCAGGGTCCGCGGCTGTTGAATAATAATATTACGTGAGTATACAAAAATTAAAAATGTGACGAGTAATTCACTATAAATTTATAACAATTATAAGAATAACATCAATACAGCGTGTGTAGATAAGAACACGGTGCGCAGCGATTGTTTACCATAGCCACGACAAATACCGACGTTGTACGAGCAATCAGGAACAAATTCACACACACTAATGATAATTTACTACTAACACACACTCTGCGTAACGCGTATAGATGATAAAATTGCCTATACACAACCCCTTAATAAATCGCCGCTTCCAATCCCCTTAAGTGGGTTCTAGTCGGTCAATTTTTAAGGAGTAGGAATTTGGAAAATTATGTGGCAATTTCCTCCGATTCATGTCAATGTGTTTGAGTTCATGGAACATTAGTGTGTGTATGTGCTACACTTAGCGTATCTCAACTCCTTATATCCGCAGGCACATGACAAAACATTAAATTATCAAAAAGAATTCGACTACTTTTCGGTAAAACATACCTCGGCTGTGACAAAATTTTAAGACTCAGGGTGGTAAAATTTTAGTTCTTTAGGAACCCTAACATTTATTAACTTGTCTTCAGGAGAACGGCTGAAGATTTTTTTTGAAATTTGAATTTTTTCAACAAATATGATAGAACAAAAATGTCATTAAAACTGAAATTGTATGATATTATAATATTATGAAAAGTTCAAACTTTAAGGCAGGGCTCTGACAGTTCTCTATAGGAGATGTAAAAAATTGTATTATTTTAACAGCATTGAAATCGAACAATTCAAACTCTCACAGTTTTGACACAGCAAAAGTCTTAAAAACGATTTTTTTTTCTAACTGACTACAACCACCTAACATTTATCATAATACAGATGCTAATACCTTAAAAAAATAATACTATTAATAAATAAAAAAACAATAGATGAAACATTTAACATTCATAATTTAATAAAAGTGTAATCGACAAATTTCCAATAGATTTCCAAAATGTATGGAATGTATTGATGTTATAGAATCTGTTCGACGATTCATTTGAATACATGTATGTGCCCCACACAGAGGGTTGACCGAAAAACCACTCTGTGGGACGAGACCAATTTATTGCATGGAGTGCTATTTTACGCCTACTAGGTTTTTGGTAGGCAATGCAACAAACATGCCTGCCCAACGAATCATAGGCAAACTCATTCACAACGACAACACCATTGATATGAACTGTCGGTTGTGTGGAATGAGGAAAACGAGTTTATAAACATAAGAGCTTAATGAATGATGATGCAGTTTAGTTATGGGGGGGGGGGGGCTTTTCTCTACGATCCGGTCGGTCAGGTCCTAGAGAGCACACAATATTTCTAAAAATTAGCTTAAACATAAGGGGCCTCGTCACTACCAGGTTATTTTGTCAAAAACTACTGTTTCTAAATCCAACGACACGTGTCGACAATTATCACGATTTTCGTTCTGTAAAAATATTCGGATTCTCCGCAATATACACGACTAAATGACCTAGCTATATTTTTAAGTTTTTTTAATTTAAATCACAATAAATATTGTAAAAATTTAAAAAAATTGTAGATCTTCAAACTTAAATATTTAATGAACCAAGTACAATTTTAAAAATGTGCCTCGGTCGATCTCTTGTACTTGTTGTAAAACAAAGAGTATATTGCCAGAATGCAAATCGAGGTAATCGTTGCGACGTATTGTTTGAATTAGAATCATATGTTGAAGTGAAAAAAAGAATTTTTCGTGATGATAATAATATTACGTTTTGACATTCGCTTGCGAGTGCGTGCGACGTAGCCCAAAGCTACCGCCGTGTCGCTCATACATCTAATAACGAACAAATGTAATATAATTAGATACGTATAATTCGTAATATAATCCTATAACAATATTTGCAAAAACTATAAAATCCGTGCCCTGATAATAATTTATACACATTAAATGTTATTGTCATATTTCCTTGAATTCTAATACTTATTTTATAAATTTATTATTTTTGATCACTTTGAATTTATTATTTAGTCCCTATTCAGCTTTCTTTCTGTAAAGAATAAATAATTTTTGTAGTTAGAAAAATGAATTAAAAGTATAAAGTAAAATCTAAAATTCCTCTATCCAAAAGAAAAAACCACAAAGGTTTCATTAAGGTTTTATTAACGCCGTAAAAGGCTGTCATACCAAGAACCAACAAAATAATAGAGATGGAATAAAGTAAGTTTTTAAAATATAAAAATAAACAAGTATTTAAATTATCATTATTATTTTACTTTTTATTGTTATTTACAAAAATAGGATACCTTCTGAGTAAGTACCGAAGACAATGGGTCACATGTGATCATTTCTTATCCCCTTTCCTCAATTGATATGAATTTAGCTTTACCACTAACTTGCGAAATCGATGACAATTCATACATAGACAGCAATAAAAAAGTGTTGGTTACGTCATCCCCTAATATTGGCCAAAAAACCTTACTTCAACATTAGTAACTAGTTTATCAAAAATAAAAATTGTCAATGAAGTTCATACTAGGACAGAAAGAAATGATTCGATGGAAATTAATGTGACTAGTAGAAGAATAGTTAATATAATACATTTATTTAATCAAATTAAAAACGTAGAATATCACGAACCATTTGAGTGTGGATTTAAAGACATGATCTTAATCGGAGAAAAAAATTCGGATTTAAATCTATTTTCCATTTCAAATGTTCGATGTGTAATATAAAAAAAAAATATTTCAACGGAAAATGAACATTTAATGGACAATTACATTATGTTATTGTCTGTATTTAATCAATGTTATTAAACAAAAATAAATCAAAAACGAAAACAAAAATAAACTATAACACGAAAATTAAATATCTAAAGTTAAAATGAAAAACAAAAATGAAAAATTGTTATGTTTACAAAATGCACGATGAACATTAATTTATAATTTATAAGAAAATATAATTTTATTATAACTTAATGTTATTAAATATTAATATTATATTAAAATATTAAATTATTATTATTTACTATACAAAAACAGCTTGTTTTATCAATATTTATCTTTATTTTGTACGGACTATTTACTATTTAGTACTTTTGTTTCAATGCATTAGAGCAAATTTTTAATTTTTATGTTTAAATGTATATTTTATACCTATAACTGTATGTTAAACTTCAGGATTATTTTTATTACTTTCTCTAGAAAAATAACACTATAGTGTTTCAATTTAACTATACACTTTTAAAATTTAGAATTTTGTATTAGTGAAAGTATGTATGGTTAGATACCACAAGTTAATTGCTGACGGCGATAGAAGTGTTTATTAATACATTTTGGAAGCGAAACCTCACAAAAATCGTAAAGTTGAAAAAATTGAATTGAATTTATTGAGGAATATCTGTAAGAAAATGGGGGAAAACCCTACAAGCAAAAACAAGCAGGGAAATTGGAAAATAGAAAATGACTAAAATTATATTTTAAGATTACATAAAGGAATAGTTTTCGCAATTCAATATAGAAGAAAAAATAGAGATAAAGATAACGATTTACGAAATTATATTTTGAACGCATTATTGGACAACATAATAAATGCCTGTCTTATTTTTGAAACAAAGAATATACCATTAATTATTTAGAAAAATGTAAAGCTACAGATTCACTATTTTATTATAATTTAATGCAACCTGTTCGTTATTTGGCCAGACATAGCCGCTTCTAATGCACAATGTTGACAGTAACGTCGTTGAATCGTTGAACGGTATTATCGCTAAATTAATTGGTGGAAAAAGAATTAATTTTGCCATGAATATGTCATATCAACCCTTGTTTCTGCAGCTACAGTATTAAAAATACAAAACGTCCACTTTATTTATTACATAAAGCTTTACTCAAGCGTAGCCTTGGCACAAAATGTCTATCAATGAAGTTGGAATTGAAACCTTAAAATATACAAAATTGACAAAATGAAGTAAGACATAAATGTTTATATTTAAATTGATATTTCGAAGTGATAACATAGATCCATCGTATAACGAAAACTCTAAAAAACAGATATGACAGAAGAACAATATGAAGAAGAAAAAAATAATGTTTACAACTATTAAATGAATTATGAAATTTCAGCTAATTGGAAAATTATTGAAAGAGAAACTATTGAACAATCGGGATCCAAAATATGGATTGAGTAATGAAGAAATTTTATTACTGCTTCGAATTTTGAACGAATTATTTGCCTACGTAGTGATACAGCATGTGATAGTACAGGTAAAAGCATGACTAAATAAATAGGTATGATCACAAAAAATTAGTTTTCGTTCAGTTGGCGCATCTCCCACTATTCTAAACACAAAACCATTGCTCGTAGTTCTCCGCATTTCATTGGCCGGCAATATTATTGCCGCCAAAATATAAATCTTCATTATATTTTATTATCGTAATTAATGATAATGTAACAATTATTGAAAGTTTATTTGTAAATTGTTTCGATTTCGTTTTACATTTTTTCAACACAATTTTAAAATGCCGAAGTGTGTATTCGAAGGTTGTTCTAGTGGCTGTAGGAAAAAAGGAGTTTTCTTGAACAAAACAATAGTGTTGCATAGATTCCCCAAAGATGATGAAATGAGGTTGTTGTGGCAAAAACAAATTAACAAAGATAAAATCAATTTTGATTCTGGTATGGTTTTTTATTCACTTCTATTTACTATACCTTCAACTTTCAAGTAAATAAAATTATTTTTCATTATTATTTAGCTGTAGTTTGCTCATTACATTTCAAACCGTATCATTATAATCTTTCAAAAAAACATTCTACCAATAAAAACTATGCTCGTTTACTTAAAGATGATGCAATACCTTTGAAGTAAGTACTAAGTATAGTAATGGATGTATTGTATTTAATATAATCTGTAATACCTATTTATTGTTTAAAAACATTTTCATTTTTAAAGTTCTTATGGAGTAGATTTCTATGACTTGCCTATACGCAGAACATTTACTCCTGGTACTCCTGTTTCGACAGAATTATGGACTCCAGCTGGAAGGTTTTCTGTGTATGAATATTTATATTAAACATAATTTATATTTTATTAAATTATAATTAAATGTTTAGAGAAATTTTGCCTGCTGAAAACATATCAGAAACATCAAAAAAATGCTGTGTTAGATTATTTAATGATGAACATGATTTAGGTCTGGGTGTTAAGCCTCTTACAAGTGATGATGATTTGATTTTAAGGTAAGAATAATAACATAAAATCAATCAATTAGTATAAGTAAAAATTAATAATACCCAATTAAAAATTATTCCATAGACCTATAGACCTAGACCATAGACTAGGTATAAAAGTAATACAATTTAGTTTATAGGTTTTCTAATATTTTTGTTTATTTATTGTTTGCATGTGAAACTGTGTCAGATCAATTTATCCAGTCTTGTAAAGTATTGGATCATATGGAAGATATTGGATCATCATGATACCTAAATATTATTGTTATAGACTGTAGTTATTGTTATTACTAATTACTATTATTGTTATTGTTATTATTAATATATGTGTTAGTTATTTATATGTTAGATATTTATATGTTAGATATTTATATGTTAGTTATTTACATGTTAGTTACTTAGATCAATTAAGAAAACATACTTGTGTGTAATTAACTGAATTAACCAATAAGTGGTGTATTGATATCAATAAAAAAATGTATATTACTTAAAATTGTGTAATTTATTATAATATTAGATTAAAAGATGATGTTCAAAAACTGAAAGAAGAAAATGAATGTCTTCTAATTAAAAATAAATGGTACCAGGATTTTATTGATACAGAATGTAATCGCTTTGAAAGTAAATTTGGTGAAATTTTATCAAAACTTTTCACACCAACCCAAATTGATTTAATACTAAATCCTAAAAAAAAAGTATACCGTTGGACACCCGAAGATATATCGTCAGCAATTACTTTAAGGAGCATTTCTCCAAAATCATATCGCTACATGATAAAAAAAAAATTCCCATTGCCAGGTGAAATTATTCATTGAGCTATATATTTTATTTTCACTTTTCTAAATATAAACCAATGGTCCAATTATGTTATAGCTCTATCCACACTCAGAAGATGGGTTTCTAATTTTTCAATTGAAGAGGGTATTTTGACATCTGTTTTATTTCTCATGAAAGCAAAAGGTGTATATTTTTAATTTTTATTGAGCTATATCATAATTTTATAAATGTTCAAACAAACTTAATTATGTTTAATAGCTGAACTTATGAGTACTTTTGATAAATTAACAGTCATTAGTTTTGATGAAACATATGTCTCAAGTAGAATTTGTTTCGAGAAAAAAAATGAACGGGTGATTGGACCACACAAATGTGTGCAAACTGTAATGGCTAGAGGTACTTACTTTTTTTATTATTTTATTTTGTATAATAGTTGATATATTATATGTTTGAGCAAAATTATATGAAAAGGTTTAGTAAGCGATTGGAAGCAACCAATATTTTATGACTTTGATACAAAAGTAACAAAAGAGCTATTATATTATATAATTGAGAAGTTATACAGTATTGGATTCAATGTACTTTCAATGGTGAGTGACATGGGGTCTTCCAATGTCGGTTTATGGAAAAGTTTAGATGTGTCGACAGAAAAGACTTCTTTTGAACATCCTATAACTAGAAGTAATGTATATGTTTTTGCGGATCCTCCACATTTGTTGAAGTTGGCTCGTAATCACTTATTGGATAAGTGAGTAGTTCACACTTCATTTTTTATTGTATAAATTGAAAATTATTAAAATATTATATTTTGTAGAGGATATATACTCAGAAATGGACATTTTATTGGGAAAAATATTTTTGAATTGTTATTAAATTTAAATACTGGACATGACTATAAGTTAGCATATAAACTCGGTGAAAGGCATCTAACTGTACAAGGAACTGGTCGTATGAATGTGAAATTGGCAGCACAAATTTTTTCCAACACAGTTGCTAAAGCTATTTCCTTCTGTGGAGAAAGACATTATATGAACAATTTAAACTGGGAAGAAGCAAGTATTATTTTTCCACTTACTTGTGTTAATAACAAAATTGTTTACATTTAAATAACAGGCATCACAAGTAGTTTTATTGTTCAATGACTGGTTCGACCTCTTTAACACCCAACATAAATATGACAATGGGGTACCAAGTTATGGTTTAAATGAAAACGTACAAAATGAATTACTTGACAGGATGACAGAGTTCATTGAATCAATGAGAGTGCATGGTAAAAGATCATTACTACCTTTTCAAAAGGGTAATAATATACAAACATTTCATATCATTTAAAATAAATAATACATTTTGTTTTATTAAATATTATTAATCAAAGCATCATTGTCAATAGGAATAATTATATGCAATACATCTTTGAAAAAATTGTTACTTGATTTAAAAAAACAGTATGCATTAGAATACATTTTAACCAGGAAATTAAATACAGATGGCCTGGAAAATTTGTTTAGTTTCTTGAAGGGCATGGCTGGAAGTGCTTGTAATAACATCACATCTTTAGATTTCAAATATTGGTGATTTTTAAATAGAACAAAATTTTAATTAATGTTATTATATGACTAATATGTAATTAATTATGTAATTATGTAATTAATTTGTTATGCGTTATAATTTATAGCCTAAGATGGTACATATTAGGCAAGCATTCCAATATTATATTCACTGAAAACACTAATACACAATGTAGTATGGAAGATAAATTGTTGGGTGAAAATGATTGTTTTACTGCCCAAATATTATTATCATCTTTTAATGATTCTTCCATTCATGCTAACAACGAAGCCAACATTGAAGGGAATGTAATTACTGTTCCAGAATCTGATTTTCAGCTACTAAAACAATTTGAAGTAATTTTATAAATACTTCACTTTCCCTTTTGTAATAGGTACCTAGGTTCTTAGTTTAAATTTTTATTACTTTAACATGGCTTATGTATTGTTTTAGATTGATACTGAAAATTGTGAAAAACCAGTATTCAATGATATTGAAGAAGGGTGTGCTCAATACGTTGCTGGTTATGTTGCAAATCGATACTCAAATAAATATCCCTATTTATCAAAAATAAATTGTAATGATACAAATAACTGGACAACCTACATTTCTAAAGGGCATTTGACAATACCATCAGAAAATCTTTTTAAAGCTGTTTTGCAAATAGAACGTGAATTTAAAATACTACACGGTGAAAGTTTATCAAAATCCCCATATGTTTTTAAAACATTATATGAGATCACAAAACCGAAAATTGAGAAACTTAATGTACCTGATGAAGTATTACACTGCCTTATTAGAACACGAACATATATCAGATTAAATAATTTAAATAAACAATTAATCACAAAACAACAAAAACAATCAGACAAACTGAAAAAAATTAAATTTACAAATTAATAATACTTTAATAATTATGTACACCTATATTAACCTATGTACATATGTAAATAACAATAAATAAAAATAAAAATTAGTTTAAGTATTAATTGTTATAAGAATATGAACTTAAGTCTTATGAATTGTAAATAATATTTAAATACATTGCAATTTGTATTTAGTACTATAGTAGTATAGTCTATAATATATTTTGTACTTTTGTAGTAATGTAGTATTGTACTATTGTCTTGTCTATCAAAAATTCAAAACTAGCAAACAAAATAGTTAAAAACGAGATAAATTAACAACCAATCAGAAGCGGAGAACTACGCGATAGACGAGGTAAGGGGTGGTATGCGTATCACAAAGTTGTGATCATACCTATTTATTTAGTCATGGGTAAAAGTATGCTGTACAAATCTGATATAGACTGTAAAGCAATTTAGTATGAGCGTGAACATGAAGAAGAGGCTATTTTGGAATTGGAAAAAGTTTTAGGTGTGTAAATATCAAAATGTGGTTTATTTAAAGATTCCAGGTTTTTTTTTAGGGGCAACACCTGATGGTTTAATCGGCGATAATTCATTAATTGAACATAAATGACCTTTATCAACAGCAAATTGAACGCCCGAAGGAGAAATATTTCATAGAATAAATTACACTATGGAAAATTAATAAAAATAAAGATATCATAGGAATAAATACCAACCATAAATATTACTACCAGGTTCAGGGACAACTACACGTCACTGGACGAAGATTTGGTATAATACTATATTGGACAAATAAAGGTATAAAATATGAAACAATAGTCAATAGATGATATATTTTATTATAACAAAATGTTTCCAACACTAAAAATGTTTTTCTTCAATTGTCTACTTTCTGAATAAGTTAATCCCAGACATACCAGAAGTATGTCAATAAGAAAACCTACTTATATTTTGGAAGCAAAAACGAAGAATGAAAAAAAAGGTATAAGCTGCACTAATACTTCTTTGAATGATGTCAATATATTATTGTGGTTATGACAATGGTTATGTACATATTTTATTATAATTTAATACTATTTTATCACTATTATAATAATAATAATTATTTTATTATGTATTATAAAAAATATGTTTATCAAAAATATAAAATGTGTTTTTATCACAAAATAAGTACGTAATTTATAATGCTTACTATAAAATTAATAAAGCAGATGTTTATGCTTCGTAATTCGTTGTTTTCCCTTTTCAGATAATATTTTTTAAATTTTCAACCTTTATGTTAAAGCCTATAATATGTTCCATATATTTTGATCGTAAATTTAAAGGTAACCTAACCTAACCATCACGGAGTTATATATATTATGCTAAAAGGGGCAGAATGATTTTTTTTCTACTAGTATACTACCAAATAAATAATACTGATAACTTTACACTGCAGACTATTTTCAGATATTTATTGTCGTACGAGAAAACATAATTTCCTATAACTATGCGATATGGAATATTGCGATAACGATTACGATTATTTGTTCTGTAAAAATATTTGAAAATGTGGTTCAAGGTTTTTCATAAGTTGTTGAAAGTGTAAATTTAAAAACAGTTGAGCTTAAATCTACAATGCATTTTTTATGAGCGTTCAAGTTAGAATAATGGCAATATTCATAAAAATCACAAAAATATATAAATCATTTTTAATTAGATATTCCAGAAAATTTGTCTTTTTATGTCTAAGATTTTAAAATCGAAATCTAGATTCCTCACTAGTTTGCCTACCTTAAGCAAAAAAAAAAGATGTCAACCTGAAAGTCAAATTGAATTGTTTGAGACTTTAAAGCATATTTGTACTGCATTATATATTTACTCGATTTTTGATAGATTTTATAATTTTGTTGTAATTCAAAAACCGTAAATACTTTAAATTCTAATTAAGAGTTTTGAACTATAAACGGACATTTAAAATTTTCATTTTTTAGATTTTGAATAAATTATAGAATAAATATATAGATCTGAAACCAACTACACTAATTGAATAATAGTTTTATTTAGTATTCTATATTTCTGTGTAGCTGAAGCCCGAAGATTTGTGAAAACCAGGTTTCTAGAAATATTTATTCAAAAACAATATTATATACTTACTACTTTAGGTATCCTTAATTATGTTACTATTTAAAATTCATTAGGGAAAAGTTTGTTTGTCACCACAGTGGCTTTAATAAAATGCCAACTGAAAAAATTATAAAAATAAATTCCAAAAACACTCAATACCCAGATATATTATTAACAACGAAATTAGACACATCCCAGACAAGAATAACCAGTGTTGTGCTTAGATAATTTTTTTGTATCTAGTTATAGATAAGATATATGAACTCAAAATATATCTGGATAGAGATAGATAATGATAAATTAAAATATATCTAGATATAGATACAGATAAAATGAATTTTATCTAGATGAAAATGAGATGATTTTTTATAAATGATATTCTTAAAATATGATTTTGTTAAATTTTATTTTTATATTAGGTTTGTAGAAAATATTAATACACTTATGACTTATGACTATATATAATTTTAGTTTAAATTACTAATAACTATTTGTAAAATGTGTTAAATAATTAAAATGATCATTCCAACAACAATGTCAATACTTACTCCATTTTCTGAAAAGGAAGATTAGTTGTGGTCTTGTGGATATAAAAGCCAACTGATGGCAGAATACATTGTATAAACTACATAGGTATATGATTATTATTTATTAAACTATTATGTTGAATTATACATATACATTTATTTATGATACATATCAAATAGGTTTCAAACTAAAAAGAAAAAATAACAATACTATACATAAATTTGTTAACATTTGAAAATTAAAATATCATAAGGATAAACAATTTTGATATTTAATATAATAACATAAATATTTACCTTTAGTCTGTTTAAAATACAATTTTATATCTAAAATACATTAATAATTATAAAGAAAAAAATTACCAGTTTAAAATACAATTTTTATTTTTTATGAACCTATTGCATGTTTCTACAACACAATAATTTTTTAAATGTTTTATCACCAAGGCGATTACGCCTTGAAGTTAAAACTTGTACTGCACCACTAAATAGTCTCTCTACAGGTGCAGACGAAGGAAGAATTGTATTGTACTTAATAAATATTTTTTTAATTACTGGATAATTATTCAACATATCTAATTCTTTTTTTTTTTAATTCAAAAACTTTATTAATTGTACTTGTACGTTTGATTCATTTTCTTGACTTAGGTCAATTCCATCACTATGGCATTCAGAAGAGTAATTTATTGAATCATAAATCATAAATTATCATAAAACTCTTTATCACTCGTACAATCACTTTCTTCATTTGCAGAGTCTGGCTGTATAATAGTTAAAGTTTACATAGAATTACATTCTTCAATAAATATTTTCTTGCATAAATCTTTGTATCGAACAGGCACCCAATCCAATTTAAATTTTGGATGGCTAATTGAAGCAATTATAAAATCTTTGCTTTTTAGATCATTTAGATAAAATAAAAAATTAAAATCTCCTCTCTAGAGAATTTATAATTGTACGACTCAAAGGTTTACAATATATTAACTGTTCAGATTGATTCAGTATCAATAACTTTCTTGACACTAATATAGTGGGAGTCACATATCCCAAGAAACTTTTTGTTTCACCTTGCAACTTGTCTAATGAAAAGGCCAATGGTTTCATAACCTTACAATATTAATTTATGAACCCCCACTCATTATTTTTCAATTTGGGCAAATGTAACTGTTCAAATATTATTGCTATGTTTAGTTTGTGATCTAAAATGTTTTGGGTTGCATCATATAATGAATTCCACCGAGTCACTACTGGAACTGGAAACTTGCACTTACAAATATCATACACTTTGTCAGATGCTGCAGTACTTCGACTTGCTAAATTCCAAAAATTCGAAAATTTAGAAAATGTAGATTTGGATATTATGATATAATTGTTATCAGAAATTTTTGAAATGTCACTAGCTGCAATTAAATTTAAAGTGTGAGCACAACAAAGCATATGTTTTGGTAGACAAAATGTACCATCTTTCTTTGAGTTTGATTCAGAAGTCAAAAACAAGTTATTGAATTCTACATTTTCTAACTCAAAATTTGAACAGTCTGATCCACTATCAGAATTTGAAGTAACTGAATTGTTTTCATCAAAATTACCTAAATCGTTCATTGTTTCTTTGTGAGCAATGTTTGGAGAAGTAGAGTACACCCTAAATGCTTTTCCAAAGTTTGCAGCATTATCCGTAACAATATGGGTTATTTTTGAATGTTCAATGTCATATATTTGTGTAATTTTTGATATAAAGTCAGCAATGTTTTGGTAGTTGTGGCTTCCCTTAATACGTTTACAACCAAGGACATATGAATGCCGAACATATGTTATTTCATCAATGAAATGGCATGTCATTCCTAGAAATAAATCAAAATAACATATTCAGTAATTTAAAAAAATACTAGAGAGATTGTCTCATTAGTTATTACAGAATAAGAACAAAGTCATTTAAACATAGTCATTTGGACTTTGGGATAATTGGAGAAAAAAAATATATAAATTAATAAATAAAATTAATTTCAATGAAATTTAAAATAGTACATTATTATAATATTATAATAGATCAATATCAAACATATTAAGAAAAGTAGTTCTGCTGGTTTATTTATATTTATAAATTATAAAACCATTGATATTATGTTTATAATAGGTACAAATAAAAAATATAGTATTGTATCATATCGAACCTAACCAATTATTATTTAATATTGCGTATTACCCAAAGAATAAGTATTAACTAACCTATTGGCATATTATAAGTATTTCTCTAATATTAGTTTAAAATGTTGATCATTTTTTAATATAATAAATAATAATACAAGATTTAGATTTTAATTTATTTTTTTAATTTTGACATTAATAACTAAATATTTTTTATACATTTTTGATATTCTATTTTAATTTTTGGCGTACCTAACTATAAAAAAAAAAAAAAATATTTTAGCCATATTTTTAACTTTAATATTTTATATAATAAATAATTTATAAATTGACTGATTTATATTTATCAATTTTTTCACTTTTTTTACTATCTCTATATCAAATGGCTATGTTAAAGTGTCCTAAATCAAGTCATTACCCATGTAACTTCGGTTGTT